TATTATTATTACTATTTCATTTCCAGGTGCAACAGCATCAGATCAGTGGGACTATGACGACATGAGCGGTGGTACGTCCTGTAAGTGACAACTCGTTACGTTAAGATGCTTTGGCCAGGTAAATATGTGAGGCATCGAGGTGAAATCAGGCGCTGGTCAAAATACTGAAATCAAAGAAATCAGTATTTTTGGGGGTAGATGGGCAGGGTTGTTTTTTTTTTGTGTTTTTTTTTGGCTCAACACCTTTTATGTCCATTCAGAAACACATTTTTATGTGGATTTTTACTGGAAAACTTTGATTAAAGGCACAAAAATGTAAATTTCCAGTTTTCAAAGACTCCCATGCAATGGAAGTTACCAAACTTTGGGGGTAATTTTACCTCTGAAACTAGGCAACCCTGAACTCCTTCAATTGCAAATATTTCGACTGCTCTTCAACATACATGGGTATTTTTTTCATCAAATGGGAGGCTAATGAATAGGCTTAAAGATGACACCAATAACCCCATACACCCAAAAATTGACGACTGCCTGATTCCTCCACGTCGTGACACATACATCAAATGGACCCGGGAAACACGCGCTGTGTGGAAAGATAGGGTGAAAGAAGAGAAGAGTAAGACAAAGAACGATGTACACAGATGGCCTGAACAACTTTGCAGCGAATAACACAAAGAGAAAACCCGAGCTGATCAAGAAGGCACACAACAGGAAGGAATGGAGAACCATGATCGTCAACGTCTGCTCCAGACCTGACACCTGAAGAAGATGAAGACGTTAAACAAATTTGAGTTTCAAAACATGTCAAGACTTTTCGAACGCAGTTCTTTTAATATCCCGATTACGACTCCAATTAATGATCTTACGATTTTGATACAGCAGTAACCCAAAAGTGGCGAAAAATGTCAGACAGAGTTTTGTACGAGCGTAATTCTAAGGTAGCGAAATGTGTGTCTAAAGTATTGTGTGTTTGTTTGTGTTTGCGTGTTTGAGTGTATGTTCGCGTGTATTTGTGGCTTTGTTTCTTACGGGCGTGTACATGTTGTGCGTGTCGAGTGTACTTTAATTTGTTAGCAGAAATCTCTCTGGTTGTTACTTCAGCTCCATTAAATTCCTTGTGTGTGTGTGTGGGAGGGGGGTATGTGTGTAGAAAAATACAATACCTTAGCCAGTTAAAACGACATGAGAACATTGTGAAAGAGGTGCTTGAAGGAAGGACTTGAGGCAGGAGAGCCAGGAAAAGACAAAGAATAACATGGATGGACAACATAAAAAACATGGATTGGCCTGGATATGGCAGAATGTGCAACGGCAGCCCTCGACCGTGCGGGATGGAGGGTCATGACGCGTCAACCTCTGAGTCAGAGATGACACCTCCAGGTATCCAGGTATGGGCGTTATCGTGTCCTGCCACTCAATCAACTACCATTAAAGAGTTCTCTTCCTGCGCCTCTCCCCCTGCCTTTTTCATCCTTCATCCCTTTACCGTGGTTGTTGGTTTCTTTTCTTTATATATATATATATATATATATATATATATATATATATATATATATATATATATATATATATATATATATAAATATATATATTATGTAATATATATAATATGTATATATAATATTTATTTAGTTATTTCACTCCTTCTTTGAATTCGCCCAACCCTTGCAGTGGGACCCACTCAATGGAGCCAGGTATACCCAACCTGCGGAGAACCGTTCCAGTCGCCTGTGGACATCACAGGTTCCGCCATTTCCTTCCACCCCCTGGACCCCATTAGTCTCAGTCTGACTGGGAACGGGGTCAACTCGGTGCGGATACAGAACACTGGAAGCTCAGGTGGGTCTTATTCCCTCGTCCTTGTCAAGTGGTTGGTGCGGGTTTGTCTGTTTGTGGGTGTTTGTTGTTGCTGTTGGTGGTGGTGGTGGTGGTGGTGGTGGTGATGATGGTTATGATGTTGTTGTCCTGATGGTATTGTTTAGGTTTGAAGTTTTTTTCTGTTTTTCTGTTAACTGGTGTTGTTGTTGTTGCTGTTGGTGGTGGTGATGGTTATGGTGACGGTGATGGGGAAGGTGGTGATGATGTTGTCCTTATGGTATTGTCTGGGTTTGAGGTTTTTTATGTTTGTCGGTTAGCTGATGTTGTTGTTGGTGGTGGTGGTGGTGGTGGTGGTGGTGATGGTGGTGGCGATGGTGGTAGTGATGGTGGTGATGGTGGTGATGGTGGTGGTGACGTTGTTGCCCTGGTGGTATTGTTTGGGTTTGAAGTTTTTTTCTGTTTGTTAGCTGTTGTTTTTGTTGTTGTTGTTGTTGTTGTTGTTGTTCTTGTTGCTGTTGTTGTTGTTGTTTTTCTTCTTCTTCTTCTTCTTCTTCTTCTTCTTCTTCTTCTTCTTCTTCTTCTTTTTCTTCTTCTTCTTCTTCTTCTTCGGAGTGGTGCTTGTGCTATTGCTGCTGCTGCTGTTGTTGTTATTGTTTATGTTGTTGTTTTTGTTGGTGATGGTGGTGGTTGTGGTACTGCTGCTGCTGCTCCTCTTACTGCTGTTGTTATTGCTGTTGTTGCTGCTGTTGTTGTCGTCGTCGTTGTTGCTGTTATTATTGTTGCCGTTGCGTTTGTTGTTGTTTTAGTCCTTGTTGGAGTATGTGTGCTGTGACTGGGGCATTGTTTCTTGCAAAACGTTTAACAGAAAAAAAGAACTGTGTTAAATGTTACTCAACCATGTCAATTTCCAACATAATTGGCTTCTTTTCATTGTATAATATGCAGAAAGTTGGGAGATTTCTTTAAATGGGAGATAATACTGCTAACATAGATTGTATATAAGTTGTTTCCCTTGCCTTGTCCATTTTCAGCGTCTCCAAGTTAGTATTTTGTTTGAATGTATGATGACAATCACTTAATCATGACCACTGTCATGTTTATCATCATTATTATCATGTTACTACTACTACTACTACTACTACTACTACTACTACTACTACTACATGTACTACTGCTGCTGCTGCTACAACTACAACTTACGTCATATTGTTCTTCTTCTTCTTCTTCTTCTTCTTCTTCTTATTATTATTATTATTATTATTATTATTATTATTATTATTATTATTATTATTATTATTATTATTATTATCGTTATCATTGTTATTGTTATTATTACTAGTATTACTATCATTATATCATTATTATTATACCATTATTGTTATCATTATTATTTCATCATCATCATCATCATCATCATCATCATCATCATCACCATCATCATCATCACCATCATCATCATCACCATCATCATTTTTTTCATTATTATTCCATTATTATAATTATTATAATGATTATTATTATTATCATCATCATTGTTATTATTATTATTATTATTATTATTATTATTATTATTAAAGTGTTTTACGCGCTCGCAACTGCGTAAGGTCATAAAAGCGCGCGGGACACACTAAATATTTTCAGTTGATAGGATATTTTTAATGTTTGCCCGGGTGACAGCTGAAGCCCACTTTTATCGATTTTTAGACCAGCAAGGGATCTTTAACATGTGCAACTTGCTCACTGGATCTCCGAGATTTTACGCCCTTACCCGAGAAGGCTAGGTGTACATCTTTCCTACCAGAAGATCAGGGGTGTGGCTGAAAGACAGCAGTACGAAGGAGCAAAGGAGTAGCAGTAGAAAAGTTGCAGAAAGAGAAGGGGGCAAAGGAGGTGAGGGGGTGGGGGCAGAAAGTGGAGACGAAAGCAGACGACATAACATTGCTAAAGCAGGAAATGAGGTGAAAAAAGACAATTTTCGAGAAGAAAAATGTCCGCGATAACCGAATTCGAACCCGGTACCTTTGAATGAGAGGCGAACACCTAGACCTCTAGACCACGAGAGCCCCCTATTATTATTATTATTATTATTATTATTATTATTATTATTATTATTATTATTATTACTATTATTATTATTATCATTATTATTATTATTGATGTATAGACCATTATTTTGTTCTAATATGCGACCCTGTAAACTCGCCAGTGTCGCTGGAGTCCCTCACCGAGAATGTGCTCATCGGGGGCGGTAACCTGCCCGGTACGTTTGCGGTGGCCGGGATTCACTTTCACTGGAGTAGGACAGACAGTATGGGCTCGGAGCACAGGCTGGAGGGGAAGGCCTATCCCATAGAGGTCAGTGAAAGCAGGTTATTTTGTTGTAAGGTTAACAATGGTGTGTAATCCAAAGCTATACTGGAGGAGGGCCGACCCCAGGGTTCCTCTCTGAGCTGCACACTTTTCCTTGTTTTCATAAACGACCTGCCTGAGATATTGAAATCAGAGACAGCCCAATATGCCAACGACCTAGCCATCTGGCATGCAAGTAAACAAGCTGGCATTGGTGCACGGCTTATAAATGAGGATCTAGATAGATTCAACAACTACTGCTGCAAGTGGAAACTAAAAGCAAATTGTACCACGACAATCCACACTGTCTTTACAAAAAGCCACAAAGTTGCAAAGAAAAATCTCACCATTTCACTTGCAGGAAACAAACTAGAAAAAGTTGAAAACCCGACCTACCTAGGAATCGAGCTGGACAGACAGTTTTCATGCAAAAACCATATCTGGAACCTGAAGACCAAGGCCAACAAGAGACTTCACCTTCTCAGACGACTGGCTAGCACTTCATGGGGAGCGGACAAGGATGCTCTCAGACAGCTATATGTTGGCTAGGTACGCTTTGCCATGGAATATAACCTAACTCTACTGACAATCGGCAGTAAACCAACTCAGAGGTCTCTTGACAAAATCCAGAATCAAGCTGTACGATTTATCTCCGGAGCTTTGAGATCCACTCCAACTGCAACTTGTGAAATCCATACGAACCTGGAACCCTTGAACTTGCCGAGAGAGGCAGCAGTTGTGGAGATGAGTGAGCGATACAAAAGACAAGAGGAAAACCACCCAAACAGGAAAATAATTGAACAGAGGCTACCAAAGAAACGGATTCATGGAAGTTCAATATTTGACACAGCCACTTAACTAGCAGAAACACACCATCTTCCATGTAACAGAGAAAGGATGAAACCCTTAAGACCAGAACTCCCTAACGCAACATCAAGAACGCCAACATCAAAACTTCCCTCATAAAGGAGACAGTGAATAAGGAATGTGAGCCAGTAGAACTGAAGACAACAGCTCTCAAGACATTTGACTCCTACCCTAGAGACTCAATTCATATTTACACAGACGGGTTAGACTTCAATGGAACTATAAATGCAGGCTTTGGAGTAAGAATTGAACATCCAGACAAAACATGTGAAGAGCTATTTGATGCATGTGGTACTTTTTGAACAAATTGCGAGGCGGAGGCCATCACCATTGAAGCAGCAATCCTCCACCTGACCAACATTTTCATAATATATCCAAGCAAAATCAAGGATACTTTTATCTTCACTGACGGAAATTCAGCACTCCAAGCTTTGGAAAAATTGAATTTCAAAAGTCCAGCCTGCCTATCCGTGGCTCAAACAATCAACACTTTCATACAGACCTATGGCGTCGACCTGACTTAACATGAGATGCCCCAGGACCCTGTTTCGTATCAAGTGGCAAGACAGAGTCCCAGACACTGAGGTACTACAGCAGGCCAAGATGAAGAGCATAATAGACGGTATCCTACTGCGCTCTCAGCTCCGATGGGCCGGCCACATTCACCACATGGACGACTCTCGCCTCCCAAAGAGACTACGGTGAACTGACCCTAGGCAAACGCTCTCTCGGTGGACAGAAGAAACGCTTCTAAGATGCTCTGAAAGCATCCCTGAAGAGATGTGACATTCCCCATACCGCCTGGGAAGACGCTGCTCGCGATCGCACAGTTTGGCGCTCTCTTATAAGATCGGGAGTGGTCAAATTCAAAGAAAGTCGCGTCAGAAAGAAAGAATGGAGACGGCGGCTGATAAAAGACCGGAGACCCCTACCTTCCAGCCTAGTTCAGCCCCACACATCCCCTGCCCCCACTCCAACAGGTATGTCCGTGCAAAGATCGGCCTGATCAGCCATCTCTGCACACACCCCACCCCTCCAGTGATGTGAAGTCAAGGTCATCTTCGCCAGCGAAGGACGAACATCACAGTGGATACCTGGCCTCAGCAACATGCCAGGAAATGACAGAGCAGACGTCCTTGCCAAGAACGGAGCATCACTAACACAACCTCACAATCCAGTATCACAACAGACAGCCAAGAACATCATCAAAATGCAACACCAGGGAACAGTGGCTGAATGGATGGGCAATAGGCAAGACTGGAAGAACTGTATTTGCACACATAAAGATGCACTAAATTCCCTGAGTAGAAGAGAACAAGTCACGATCTTTTGCCTGCAAACACAACACATCCCACTAAATTCCTACCTTAATTAATAGGATCCGCAAGGATACCCCGCCCGACTGCCCGTTGTGCGACTGCCAGGATGAAACAGTACCACACCACCCATTTACCTGCCCTGCACTTTGCGACCTGCGTAGCGTGGAAACTAAAAG